GGACAGATTAAGTAACTATATACTAGTACACAACAACCAAGATGGCAGAGACAGATTAAGTAACTATATACTAGTATACAACAACCAAGATGGCAGAGGCAGATTAAGTAACTATATACTAATACACAACAACCAAGATGGCAGGAACAGATTAAGTGTCCAAATGTGTGTGTTACACTCGAAATCACAAGATTTCTAGGTTGTGTCCCAACATCAGTGAGACATTTTCTGGTTGATGTTTTTGTTTAAATACCACAGTTCTTGAGACGGACACAGTAACTCGCGAAGTCGTCATGTCTGCATGGACAATGAGATCTGTTGTTTTTCTCAGCTTATTGTTCGATAATTGCAGAAAATCTATTGACGCGGAAAGACGATCCCTCGGATTCACAGTTCGGGACACTAAATACTGTGCCACGACCGGCCTGTCCTTAGAGTTAGTTACAAGCATGATATTACCATCCCGAGGTGCTGTACGCCACAACAACCGTCGTGTTTAAAGAATGACGGACTTCTTTGACGCACGTTATTCTTGTGTCTGGATAATCTGGATTGAGCTGGTTTATGTGGAAACTGCTGGTTTCCTGGCTGAAGACGAAAGACCTTCTATAGTCTAGAGTGTGCCAGTAGCGGTGAGATGTTATCCACTCTGGGAACTGACACCCAAGGTCAGAATGTTTAACTGTAAAAAGTAATACATATTAAAAACCATGATCTTGATAACAGTCCCCTACCCAGTGGGTCAGATGTAAGCTTACGGATTTACAACGTTAAAATCCAGGGCTCGATTCTCCGCGGTGAACACAGCAGATAGAAAAATGGAACTTTGTTCTAAAACAAACAAAACAAAACAAGTTTGAAATAATAAAATTATTTCTTAGTTGACTTTTGTTCTTGTTCAAACACAAAACTATACATAATGGGCTATTTGTGCTGTGGCCACTACAGAGTATAAAAATATTTAGTTTCATAGTTTTTTGGCTGAGCCACTAGGGGTTTGAAAAATTAGAATAGTACAAAAATCATTTCAATCGCGTGTTTGTTGAAAAATAAGTTGTTTTTTCTTGGATCCAACAAACACATAGAATTAATTTATAAAATAATACTATAGAAATAATTAGAATTAATTTATAAAATAATACTATAGAAATAATTAGAATTAATTTATAAAATAATACTATAGAAATAATTAGAATTAATTAATAAAATAATACCATAGAAATAATTAGAATTAATTTATAAAATAATACTATAGAAATAATTAGAATTAATTTATAAAATAATACCATAGAAATAATTAGAATTAATTAATAAAATAATACCATAGAAATAATTAGAATTAATCTATAAAATAATACCATAGAAATAATTAGAATTAATTTATAAAATAATACCATAGAAATAATTAGAATTAATTTATAAAAACACTGATGCGATTTGTTCGATCCTCTTAGCATTATATATATACGTTTAACTTTAATATCCTCTATTGAAAACACTACTAATGTAGATATCCTCTATTGAAAACACTACTAATGTGGATATTCTCTATTTAAGACATTACTAATATTGATATCGTCTATTGTGAATACTACTAATGTAGATATCCTCTATTGAAGACAATGCTAATGTTGATATTATCTATTTAAGACATTACTAATATTGATATCTCTATTGTGAATACTGCTAATGTTGATATCGTCTATTGAGGACACTGCTATTGTTGATATTCTTTGTTGAAGACACTGCTAATATTGATATTATCTATTTAAGACACTGCTAATGTTGATATCCGCGGTTGAAGACACTGCTAATGTTGATATCATCTATTGAAGACACTGATAATGATGATATCCGCGGTTGAAGACACTGCTAATGTTGATATCATCTATTGAAGACACTGATAATGATGATATCGTTTATTGAAGACACTGATAATGATGATATTGTTTATTGAGGACACTGCTAATGTTGAAATCATCTATTGTAAACACTGTTGATATTGATATCATCTATTAAGGACACTGCTGATATTAATATCATCTATTGAAAACACTGTTAATTTTGATATTGTTATGACAGCGGAAATCACGTGACGCTGCTAGCGCATGCGTGGCTGAGTTTCTCGAATTATCGGGGAAGTTCGAGTGTGATCGAGACGCCTCTTTGTTAGTATATAAGCTTGGCAGTGAAAGGCCAGGGAATGGTTAAGCGAACAGTAGTCACGGTGGGTTTCGGGTAATTTACGATTCTGTTTCGAGCTAGTGTGTGTTTTGCACTCGTAGAGAGCAAACTTATCGAGATTGTGAATCGCTGTGATTTATAGCGTGTATTTTAAAAGTTGTTAAGTTTAAAGTGACGAGAAATGTACTGACTGTGGAATTACTGTGTACTAAAAGTTTGTATCAAGGAAGAATAAACTGGTTTAATCAAGAAAGGACTTATATCGCTGAAGTTCCTCGGAAAGAATTTCTACCGGAAATTAACAAACAAGCAGATAAGTAACAATATTATATATTGAGAACACAACTAATAGTGATATTATATATTGAGAACACTGTTAATATTGATATCATCTATTGAGAACACTGCTAATATTGATATTACAGATTGAAAACACCGTTAACAATTATTGAGTAGAAACATTTGTAACGTACTCTTAGTCAGACGCATAACCCGGTAGCCTTCTCGTGGCGAGACCAGGCCGTCGCAAGTGGCATCAGCAGACTGAGACATTAGGTAGCTATCCGAGAGATTGTCGTAGACCTGATAAAAAAAGATATAAACATTTCAATGACCTACTGTTTCATCACTGACTAATGTATTAGTTCATATCAACAATCTTTGTATTACTTGGTCAGCTATCACTCTAGAAGTTAGGTTCACATTTTATATGGTATTGAAAGAAAATAAAGATACAATTCTTCTCTGTTGTTAGCTTCTTCTTGTTATTAAAATAACGCACTTACACTTTACCTGTAGTTATAGGTACCTATTACACACCTATATCATTCACACTTTACCTGTAGTTATAAATACCTATTACACACGTATATCATTCACACTTTACCTGTAATTATAACTACCTATTACACACTTATATCATTCACACTTTACCTGTAGTTATAAATACCTATTACACACGTATATCATTCACGCTTTACC